AACATTACAGAAGGTTACTTTGCATCTTCTGTATGGCTCTACTTTAATCCATATTTCCTCAGGGCACTCACACATATGTTTGACTTCAGGCTTTTGAATTGCAAGTCACTTATGCATGAGAACCTTTTCAGTTTACCTCACAGAACCCAGTGGGACCACCTCTGCTTTTACCTCATGTTGTGCCGGAGAGTGGGCCTACCATATAAGATGGGATGACTCCTGCACTTAAATGATCTGCTGTAATCCTCTTTATTTTAATCTTTGACGCTGGAACACCCTATATTCTCTTTCATATGGCAAGTTGGCCACATGCACTAATTTAACCTTCCATTTCTTGTCATCTGCCTAACCTAATTTGCCCATGTTTCTCATCCTCTTGTATGATGTGTGATCTAGGGCTAATTGAGGACCTCTTCTGTAACATAGTTTCAGTTCTCCAGCTAGCATTGCTTTAGCAAGTCTTGAGGAAGAACTGAAATTTGTGCAGCTAGCAGGCATTTTGCTTTTGTAAAACAAGCTAATTTTGACTGAGAGATTCATTCCATGGGTAGCCTTAGAAAACACATAAATCTTTCATAAGTTTGTTTTCTGCTATTTTTAATGCCCTAAATCTGTCACATACATTGTTGACTCAAAACATGTAGCAAGTACCAAGTAAACAAAGACAGAGAATACTTACAATTGTCATGTAGGCTGCAATAAGGGTAGCTAAAGAATGTATCTGAAGTGTTAGAATTTGGGGGGGCAGGGGAAGATTGGACTTGGCAGGAAAGTTGCTTAGAAGGCATGGTGAAGCATTACTTGTTGAATACACAGGAGACTAGAGAGGCTTTATTAAAATTTCTCAGTTTATGTGAAGGAATGCAATTTCAAAGTCATGTAATGAATTTAGTTTAAAATGTTAAATTGAAAGCAATAATGTGTTTCAAAGGGTTTCGTGTAAAAGATACCAAGTTGATGTATTGAAGTTACATGAATTAGGAGAGAATACTGAAGTGAAATTGAAAACATCAGCACTGTCCCCAGTTAAGTGAATAGCTGTTACAGTAAATGTGTGTAATATGTTACTATTTAAAATTAACTTAAATTTAAAGTCAGTCCTTTCAGTGTGACCATAAGCAGTAGATATTTGTCAAAGTAAGCCAACAAAAGTAACCTGATGGAAATGAAGCATTACCCACTATAATAGATGATAATTCCCAGTAGTACTGCCCTGATTACTCGAGGGAAGATTATCATAGATTTTTCCTTTCTTTTTAGCTTCTAACTCTTAGTGTTGTCTAAGCATCGTTAGATATAGTTAATAATTTCTTATACTTTGATCCTACAAGAAAGGGTCTGGTTTTATTCATCCTTTATTTTAATAATTACTGCTACATTTTAAAAACCTCACAGATAGGTCACCATTATATAAAACATTAAAAGAACACATTCACCAAGCAACAAATACCCTTTAATAAATCCTCTCTCTTAGATATTTCAACATAATAATGATGTTCCTTTTTTGTTTCTTCACCCTCAGTTGTAAATGCTTGTTAAATGACCATTTTTATTAAAGCCTCTGCAATTGGTGGAGCTCCCTAGCCATTGCTTTCAGATTCAAAACAAGAATGTAAAGAGGATTCATAGCAAAAATTTCCAAAATTTAAGTGTTCAAAAGACTGATACCATCTTCTGCCCACATGGAACAAATGTTGTCTAAAGTGCTCCATTTGTGTTACTACAATTTTATTAATGTAGTATTAATACCGTTATGAGCTACATTGTTTCACTTAATGCTAACAAGCCAAGCCTTGCATAATCTCTGGTGTATTCCTTGTTCAGCATTGATAGATGACATTTCATATGGTTGCTTATGTTCCACATTTTAGGACAGATAGTGTGCAACTGCTGGTGGGAATTTGAGTGCTGGAGATGGTGCCCCTGAAGTTTGGTTAATAGATATATAGTAGTGATAGATTGCTGTGGTTCTTGGACTGTTGTACATAGTTCATTGTTTGTGAGGTGGACCTGACATTTAATGAAAGAGGTCTTGCTTGATGGTTTTTAGCTAATAAATTACTAACCACTTTCAGAGCCAGCAGGGGAATCCCTAATTCTCTTAAATATCCAAGTCTTTCATGTAGGAGCCAAATTTTTTATAATTTGTCTATTATTGGTATAGCTGTGCTGTCCCAATACTGACTGAGTTGAAGTTCTGGTGCTGTATTTAGATATCACAAGGCATAATAAAAATATTAAAATGCAATTTATGGGGGAGGAAAATGTTATCCTAATTTAAACCAACTTATTAGCGCTAGCATTAATGTTCTCAGTAGATGAATTATTGGCATTAAAAGGTAAAAGTGACTACTTTATCATCTTTGATAAGTAGAGTGCAGACTGTACAAATAAAGTTGTCATGAACTTCACATAGATTAGAATGCATCTGCATGATCCTTAAAGAACGATCACTGACAGACGGCTGACAGACGACTGAATCCAGTGCCTACCAGATTTGTTATTCATTCCTTTTATTTTGTCAATCTAATAATGAAAGGTTTCTTGTCTCTGTGAGACTCCTTTGCCTGAAGTGGCCAAAAAAAGTTTCAGAAGCAGCGTGCACCTCATATGAGTTATCTTCTGAAGTGAATTCTATGTGCTGAAGTGTAAGGTTTATGAGTGACTTAAAATGTGAACACGTAATATTCCCAAAGTATGTGCTCTGGGTATACAGTATTATAGAATCATAGGATGGTTTGTGTTGGAAAGGACCATCTAGTTTAAAACCCCATAGGCAGGAACTCCTTCCACTAGACCATGTTGCTCAGAGCCCCATCCAACCCGGCCTCGAACACTCCCAGGGATGAGGCATCCACAGCTTCTCTGGGCAACCTATTCAAGTGTCTCAGAATTCTCACTGTAAGGCATTTCTTCCTAGTATCTAATCTAAACCCACCCTCTTTGAGTCAGAAGCCATTCCCCCGTGTCCTATCCCTATATGTCCTTGTAAAAGGTCCTTCTCCATCTTTCTAGTAGACCCTGTAAGACTGCTGTAAAATATCCTACCTGTTTTCCTCAGCGAGGGCTCAGGACTTCCTTTTTCTGAAGGGCAGTGCTAAATAAAGTCTCATCTTCACAGTGATAATCAGAGAAATTAATGTACTTATATTTTGAGCTGGATTATTAAACTGCATTGAACTGTGTGTGGGCTCTCATTTGGAATCAAAATAGCCTTTGTTCAGTGTAGCCTATTTAACAAATGGAATTAATGCTACTTCCGTAAAGTACGTCTACACATAGGTTCGGTGTAATTTTACCAATCTACACTGAATTCACAGCTTAAATTCAGAATTTTTTTGCCTTAAAGGCATGAGAGTGTAAGCAGGAGTAGGCTGGGCAGATTTTACTAGCTAGTGGTGATCACCAAACCCACCTACCTTAGATGTTTAAAGAAACTTTAGCTTCCTTGAGGAAACATGGAAAAATTACTCTCTTTTCTATTATTATTTTTTCCCTTTTTTTTCTGAGATCTCTCTAACAATCAAAGCACATTTCTGGAAAAAAAATTTCTACATTAGACATAGCATGCCCTGGAATAATTCACTCAGCAGGTACATTTACTATAGCAGTAGTTTATTAAAATCCAAGCAAGGCAGAATTGCTAAGGAAAGAGAACATTCTGTATCAGATGAACTGGTGCATATGGGGAAAATAAGGGCAAGCGAGAAAAGTAATTGTACATTTCCAATACTGACACTGACTGGAAAGGTTTCTGTTCCACTTAGGAGCACTGTGTGGTTTGTGTACCTCAGTCACTTGGGCACTTTTGCAAAAAACTCAAAATGGCTGTGGTACTGTTTGAGCAGAGCCAAATTACTGCTGTTCTGTATTCTGCCATCACTAATTAATTGTAATATTCTACATCCATTTAAGAGGAAAAGATGTGCCTGAAAATTTCTTTGTATCCTTGAATGTAATTGACTGTGAGTGTTTCATAATTTACAGTAATGCAAGATACTGTGGGTGTCTCTCAGGATATTTTCTCATCAGCCAGTCAAGGTTTTAACTCTCAGTTGCATGCAATGATATCAATAATCTAACTAGGTGACTGCAGTATACTGAGTAATCTTGCATGATGAAGAGCTACTGCAGTCCTTTGAGATGGGTGGCAAGAGTGTTTCATACAGGGTAATAGAGTGTCTGGAAAGGAGTAGTAATGATACAGCTGAGAAGTAGCAGGTGTGAAGAATACCTTTGCTAAAACACAGGCTTAGTCAGAGCTCTGCAGATGCAGTCGTCAGTTCTGTTTCATCATTAAAATTCTGTGATATGGTGAAGGATTCACAATGGCTCTTTAGCCTTTTCTGGTACAGCAAAACAGAAAAGAACCTGCTTGCAAGCTACTTGTATGACTGGTATAGCATTTCCAAACCCAGCTTATCCAATTAAAAAAATGTATGCCTTCCATCCATCATTTTGTCCATTAACGCAGGCAAAGACTCTGGAGGAAATCTGTGCCTACTCTCATAATTACCTGGTCACAGATATTACTGCCCTCATGTTAACCCTTCCTGCAGATAGGTGGGTAGATGTTGTAAACATATAGCATGTGTTTGTTTTCATATGGGGAAAGGAAGAGTGGTAAAAGTCCCATTTTATGCTAGTGTATGAGAATCTGTTTTTCTGAGTCTACAAAACTGGCTGATCTCTGTGACCTGGTTGGTCACAATGATTTTGATCTAAAGGCTGTGTCCCTTTTGGTTTTAGTAACACAAACATATGAGCAGAGCCTGTTCTTGTAAATTAAGGCTGCAGGATCAGAACTTCAGAGGCAAGCTCTTTGTCAAGGGGGGACACCTCATCACACTTATATTAAAGGAACTTTTCCAGGCTTTCATGCAGTGCCCTTAATGTGACTCCAAATGCCATATGAGTAATTCACTGAAAAACACATCGCTGCTGTGTTTTGTTGATTTTGGATTATTAACAATGTTCTCATTCCACATTATTTATTTCAGATCACCAGACTAGCTCTGATATTAATTTGTCAAATGTCAGGGCAGCATCAGAAACAACAGACTTCAGTTCTAAAAATGAGGTACTTTCTAAAAGTTTGGAAACTAAGGAGCAGTCAATATTGGTGCTTCCAAGAAGAGTATCATGTGAGGTAAGATTTTTAGATGCTAAAATTTTTGGGATAACGGTCAATGTTCATCTCCTCTTACTTCTGCAATCTCATTCACACTATGTCTGCTATTTGTTTTCAAAATTGTAAAGGGGCCAAAATGAGAGTGCATTTATTTTGCCTTTGTGTCACATCCGCACTGCAGTCAAAAGATTTGCAAATAAAATAGTTTGGAGATAGCCTCTGAGGTATTTTAGCTCTGTTAGATTTATTGGGCAGCTTGAGTAGTATTACTGTCATGAGGGCCTTATAGTTTATGTATAGTATGTAGTCAGGCACTTCTTGAGAGATATGGAGTATCTCTTGGCAAGAATCCATGATGGGTGTATGGGTATGTGCATTATGTGCCCATACCATGAATTACACAAGTGCTTGTGTGAGCATGTACCTAGTGTGACTTTAAATTAAATCAGAAATATTTATATATACGTATCTGCATGCATATTCAATGGACATAAATGTTCATATGTGTTTTTAATCTGTTGCTGTGAGAAATATGTGACAGTGTAAACAGAGGAAGTACAAAATCCAGCACTGCATTCCTTTATATAAATGAGTGCCCATGGTCAGATATGGAGGTTGCAGTGTACATGGAACATCACCCATTTTGCTTGTTATCTGTTTTTTAACGATGACTTACATTATTTCATCGTTGAGATCAGTACAGTTCTAAGGGAGTAACTTTCCCCCTGGTTCAGGAGGTAGTAGAAGGGTATTGTCTCACATCACCTGTTGCCTCTATCTTACTTTACTGTCAGCTCACTGTAAGAGTTTAAGTGACTCTAAATTATTTTAGGTTCTTATTAGGATGGATGTAATTTTTCTAGACTATAGAGTGGCCTTAGAAAATGTAACAATTCACCTACGTATGCATTTAAAATACTGTTTCAAAATATTGTTAGGTAAGCTGAATTTAAAATCCTACATTAATTGTGTCATTTATGTCAGTAAAATACTAAAGGTATTTTTTAGTTAATTGTTATCTATTATTTAGAGATAGCACCATGTTTTGGTAGTATGACTGTTTTGCATAAAGGTGGTGGTAAAGAAAAGTTCTTTCAATATAATTTTAAATTTTCAGTATAATTTTCTGAAGGACTAATGGGAACACATTTTAATTTTATAGAACCCTGGTGAAATATTCATTCTGGTGAAAGATGAAATTGATGATGAAACTCTAGAAATTGAATTCATATCAGATAATCAACGAATTAGGACACAGACAGCCTCTTGGAATAAGAAGGTCAAGTATGTAAAAGCCCTAGGTAAGAAAAATATTCTTTGCCTTTAAGTAAACTGAGAATTTTCAACTCCCTTCACTTTTTCTGATAAGTAGTTTCACTTCCTACTATTTTGTAGGTGTTTCCTGTACATGGGTTTTGCATACAAACTTTTATTAATAATGCAGAGAAGCAAGGCCTTGTGATTTATGGGAAGCTAGGTTCTCTTAGGTTAGTTTTCTGTGGTTAAATGGCAGGTGGCGGTCTTAAAATGTCATTGATTAGTTACAGATTAACATTCTTCAAAATTGGTGCCATAAAATGCAAAGTTAATATTCTTTTTTTATTACTCTATTACTAAAATGTTTCATTTTATATTTAATGCAGTTAATTTGGTTATACTCCTCTCCATAATTCTTACCGATGCAGGAAATAATTTCTTTTCTTTTTTCATATTCATGCCGTTTCTCTGTATCACTCAGCTTTGCAGGTTTGTAATGATTTTTTCCCACTGCACCATCCATAACTAGCTGCTAACAGTTTCACTTATTTAACAACAATTTCTCTTAGATCTGTGCAGATTTAATGGCCAAACCTGTCTCCACCCTTTTGATGTGAGTTAAGAATTAAAAAATTTTTCGCCTATGGCTTTAGAGTATAGTTTGCTACTGCACTGCATACTGTCAATTCCCAAAGGAACTTATATAATATTTTATTCTAAAATGATTGCAATAGAACATTAGATAGGAGGAAATACATACATATAAGCTACAATTTTCCATGGTGGCTTCTTGGAGCTAGGTTTGGGTAATTCTATGACCTGATGACTTCTGTGACTCGATACTGGTGAGGCCACACCTTGAGTCCTGTGTCCAGTTCTGGGCCCCTCACTGCAAGAAAGACATCGAGATGCTGGAGTGAGTCCAGAGAAGGGCAACAGAACTGGTGAAGGGTCTAGAGAGTAAATCACATGAGCAGCTGAGGGATCTGGGGTTGTTAAGCCTGGAGAAAAGGAGGCTCAGAGGAGACCTTATTGCTCTCTACAAATACCTGAAAGGAGATTGGTATCCAGGTGGGGGTCAGCCTCTTCTCCCAGGTAGCCAGTGACAAGAAGATCTAGCCTCAAGCTGCGCCAGGGGAGGTTTAGGTTGGACATTAGGAGGAATTTCTTCACAGAAAGTGCGATTAGACATTGGAGTGGACTGCCCAGGGAGGTAGTGGAGTCACCATCCCTGAAAATGTTCAGAGAATGACTGGACATGACAAGTCTGGTTGACAAGGTGGTGGTTCACTCAACGATTGGCCTCAATCTTAGAGATCTTTTCCAACCTAAGTGATTCTGTGATTTTCATCCTGAACACTGTCTTGGGATGATGGTCACACATGGCCTGAAAGGTCTTTATCACTGTGATGGTGCAGATAGATTGTTTTTAGCAACCTGTCTGAGAAGTAAATAACCAACAGGCAGCTTTCATCTGTAACTGGATTTCAGAGAACAAAAGCTGAAATCCTCATTCACAGATCTTAAAAGATTCTTCCAAAATTGCTTTGTGAGAACATTGTTGATCACAAGAAGGTTTCTCTAGTGGATGAATAACAAGATATGAACAGTAAACGAAATATGAAAAAAATTTGCAGAGAGCTGTAGCCCAAGTTTAATATTTATATCATTTGTCCTTAATGATAAATTCATTATTAAATTAATGTCCTTTAAAAGTCCGGAAGAGTTGGAAATTTGGAAGTATCCTTTTTTGGTCCAGCTGATCTGATGTTTGTAAAAATGTTTTTTTTGTTGTTGTTGTTTTTTGTTTGGGTTTGTTTTTTTTTTTTAAAGCTTTTGGTCAGTTTCCATTTAAGTGATTTAACATGATGTTCTGTTAGATTAGTTACTCTGGCCCTATTACTCTTCTCCATTTTCAGGGTTGTCCCTTTTATCACTGTTTTGTGGGCAGAGTTAGTATTTTAAGAAAACTGTGCTAGTATGGTCCAGCAGAATGTCTGGCACAATGAATACTAATGAATTGGGAAATGTGCTCATAAAGTAGGCTCATGCTGCCTGCACAAAGCAAGTCATACTTAAGTAGCAGACTATGAATGCCTCTTTCCTTTTGCTTTTATGAGGTAAACAACTGGAATGGAATTAATTAATTATACTGCCATTTCTTTAGCCTAGCTCAAATGCAATCTTGAGAACCTTGACTGCAATTAAGAAAAATGTTTAAAAAAATGAATAGCAATTACACTATTTGTGATAAACTTTTCCTTAATATGTAGGCATAAGGGAGCTGATTATAGGTCATCAGACTACAAAGGGAAGTTGGAAATTCTGTTTTCATCTCCTTTCTAATGTGAAGCAGTAGAACAGCTTTGCTTTATACATATTTACAGATATGTATTTTCTTTTGTTAGACTGAAAGACCTGAATAAAAAATTGACTACACTAAATCACCTGTTAAATGCAAATCCAGTTCATCAACTCTGTGCTTTTTCTGTGATATCTTCCTGTTATTTTACTCATTCCCTGAGATCTCTGGTCTGGGACTGCAAAATATCTTCAACTACTGTTCTGATTTTTGTTTTATAAGATTTTCCTGCTGGCCCTGTATATGTAAATGTCTACTGTGGGGGAGTCATTGAGACCACAGCACACATTGAGTACTACACTGCACTAGAGGAGATTGAGCCCATTTTAAAGAAAGTGGCTGACCCAATAGCTTTCACTTGTCAGGTAAGTTGACTTCTCAGTTTTTAATTAAAGAAAAATAGAATGTAAGTGCTTATATGAACTAAGAGATAATATGCAATCTTTTGATTACACAGTAATTAGTAATGGCTCAATAATAGGCTCAGGATTAAGAGGCCTGTCTCTGAGATGTCTAGTTATAAGCAAGTCAGGCAAGAGAAAACAAATTTTCTCTATTCTTGTTTTTTCTTTACAGAGTGATATAAACATCCTTTGTGCTATGTATGTGCCCAGTGTACAACATGCTGCATTACAAAGGATGAAAATAAGAACAAATATTAGTGAAGTCCCTCTCCATTTAAAGTGTTATTTTTCACATGTTCTAAAACCAGTAGAAGCAAGTAATCTTAAACCATATTGTATTTCAACTGTTATTATTCATTCACCAGCAAATGGGTTTTTTCTGGCATAGCTTGTATGGGGGGCAGTAGATTGCTATTCATATAGAGTCCATTTACAGCTGCTCTGTTATCATTCATGTGATTTGCTTGCTGGTTGCCATGCAGATTCTTTGCATATATTTAGAAAAAAATCAGGTTTTGAGCTGGGTTTCAAATCAGCACAGCAGACTGCAATGCTCTGCAGCCTGTTCCTTGCCAGTGGCACATAAGAAATTACAAGAAAAGAAGGCATATATTGAGAAAGGATGGAATCTCAAGTATCATTTGTTGAACGGTGGGTAGCCCAAGCAGGCTTGTCATAATGTCTATATTGTAATTGCAAAGCCAGAACAAAAATAATAGTCTGCGTTTCCAGTGCAGACAGTCTCATTTTCCTGTGATAAATCTACCTTGTGCACCACCTAAGGCATTACACTCATAACAAAGGGATTAATAAAAATGATGTATTGCATTATTAGTGATCTATTAAGGATGGGGTTAGGTGCCTTCCAAGTACAAGTTACTTCTGTTCTAAGAAAACAGGCTGTTGCACAAGAAAAATAGTGCACCTCAAAGTACAAATGGGTTCTTAAATTCTTTATAGTATCTGTCATTCTTTAGCTTGTATTTTGAAGTATATCAAAGTAAGCTTCTAACACATTGCATTTAAACTTTTATGCATAAGAAGTGTGTCATAATGGTATAAAAAATTGTCATTAACGTGGTAACCTAGATACCTAAAGCACACATGCTATTTCCACTGGAAAGCTATTTGTGTTATTCAGGAGTTTGACTCTTCATTTAACCAGCATGACTAATATTTAGTAAAACACATGCAATTCAAATCATATTCAAATGCAAAAATAATTCTGTGCAGAGCAGTAGTGCACACCAGGAAATACAGCTGTAGTATTATGACCATTGGTTATGTTTAACAATTTCCTCACCTTTACTCATCTGGATAATAAGCATGAGTTTAAATGAGGTGACACTGTTTGTCTGCTGTCATTTTTATTCTTTTGGTAACTGAAAATTAATGCCAAGAAAATTTTTATAATTGGGTAAGTTCTACAGTCCACACGATATCATGGCTGCTCTGTGGCAAGGTATACTAATGGTAATTCTTTTGTAAGTGTACTATGTGTTGGAAAATTTGTCATATTTAATGGTACCTGCTGAGCCACAGAGTGAGGTACACTAACTAGCTAGGCAGCTAAAATATTTCTACAAACTTTTTAAATAAGTTTTCATGTAAACCTGATTTAATGTCAATAAGATGCATCATAAAGATGCAATTTACAGAACATAATTTAACTTAATCTTTAAAATATGTTCACAAAAGGAAAAACAAAACAGACTAGATACTAATTAGAATTCCCATCAAGTAGCAGGAGTAATAGTAACTTTTATTTAACCAGGATAATTAAAACCTTTGAGACTATCAGCTTATTTGCAAAAGTATCCTGGGGCAACAGGCGTTTATCTATGCAAAGTAACAATCAAACACAATGAAAAACAAAACTGATATAAAATAGAAAGTCTTACAGCAATTATTGATCAAAGCAATATCACTCTGTGGTTCAAAGAAAAGTTCAAGATTTTCACAAGTGCTTGCAATCTGAGAAGTATTTCCTTTTTAAAATTCTGTGATGAAAGCAAATTGCTACAGTAGTGTATACCAAAGACACAGGCTTTGGTAAAATGCTTTCATTGTATTCTACGTTGTCTTGCCAACCTTTTCAGCTCCTTTGAGATGTTCCACTTTGTCCCCCAATAAAGCCAAACAGATAGACAAAACCCAACAAATAGACTTACAGCTATCCATTCATTTTACTGATGGTCAGGTCAGTTCATACATCTTGGTGGGAGACTAACAAAGTGTGGTACTGCTGCATTTATGAATCTGGTTTTAGAGAGCAATTAAACATTGACAGTAGCTAAAGTTTAGATTAAACATAATCTAAGATTTTACAAATTATGGCTTTGGATAAAATTCTTTGCTACGTCTGACAGATTGTAATTTTCTGTGTTCCAAATTTGTCTGAATTTAAAACACATTTACCAATATCAGCAAGCCATTTTAAGCAACCAAATAAATGTTTAAAATTTAATGAAATAAAAAAAGCAAATTAAATAAGTTTCTTTGCATAAGTTTCAAAAGAAAAAACCTGAAATTTTATAGTTAAGTAGAAAGAGTTGGGATCATAATAACTGAATCATAATGCTGAATGAACTTGCTATAAGAATATAGGAGGGTGAAGGTTGGCTAAAGGCCGTGATTTTTTGTTCTCTCCCTTTTATATAATTCTGCATTAAAGAAACTCTCTTAGGGAGTTTATGTTCTCACAGTAACCCAATGTACAGACTGATTTTAAGATTCTTAAAATTCATAATTAAACTTCTTTATATTTCATTTTTTACTTCTCATGAGCTTCTTATTTCAGTATGCTGGATTTACATGCTGCATTGTTTTTTCTATCTAATTTTCCACCAAATGGAATTATTGGTTCAATTATTTAGTGTTGGAGTTTACTGGTACAGATTTATTAGGTTTAAAAAAAAGATTGAAACAAGGTATTATCCTTATTACTGAAATTGTTACATTCATGTTAGTTTGAGTGACTTAGACTATCTGGAGAGATTAAGGAAGTCTTTGTGACAGACTTTGGTTGAATAATACTCCTGTGATTCTGAGATACTTGGTATCATAGATGATGTTCTTATCGTAGTCATCAAACAGGATTCCAGTTACAGTGCATATTGGAAAAGAAGAATGAAAATAAACTGCAGCCTTTAAACTTGTAAAAAGCTATATGACTTATGTGGCGATATTATGTATGCGCCTTTACCTGATCCCCAGAGATACTTCCTTTGAAACTGTATTTAATATTTCAATCTTCTCAGCCACGTCAGCGGCTGTTATTTTAAAATGTTTCTTTCTTTCTTTTCCTCTAGGTATGAAAGCTCTCCATATTCTATCACTGCCTAAAATTGTCAGAAATGTGTGAGTGATTTTTAAACCTAGCCCATTCTCTTTGGCAGAAGTAATCTAGATATGGAAGTGCATATAAAGTAGTGTCTGATATGTAAGAACTACTGGAGAAGTTCATCTTTATGTAAATGTAACCTTGTTAGTACTGCTAAAGCCAGGGTGGAATACATTAATTTAGTGGCTGTGTATGCTGCTTCTCGGTGGCACAGATGTTCAGGGCTTGGTGAGCAGTTACTAAAGAAAGTAGATAGTCTTATTCACAAAAGTAGCAAAATATGTTCTTGGTCTCCTTTTTCAAGGATGTTTTTGGAAGCCCAGGTGTGAGGGTCAGCACTTGGGGCTTCTCGGTTCACAGCTGTGTCCTGGGGACACACCTGGGGAGGTGCTACTGAGTCGGGTTAAGTTGTTGGTGACAAGCTCTGGAGCAAGTAGTGGTGTTTGCAGAAGGATCAAGCTTCCAGACTTCCAAGACTGAAGCTGGCTGTGCTGCAGAGACCATGGGAAGCACTGCTTACAAACTCACTAGCTTAATTCTGAGTGGCTGCAAGGACACTGGGGGAAGTAGCACTTTTACTTCTTTTCTGTCACGCTGTAGATCTTTAATCAGATAAAATGTGGGCTTCCTCAAACCCCTGACTGGGTCAGTGTTCCCTTGCAGTGCTTAATTTTAAATACCATTCTGCTTCTGTTGGCTTTGGTGAACTTTCAACATGAACTTTAGGTTTGTAGTATTGGTGAGATTTCTGGGGAAGATTTGACAGGCCTATAGAGAGCCATGTAGGGTACATTAAAATATGTAAGTGCAGCATAGTTTGAATCTGTGAGATATCTGAAGCAGGAATGGGCGGTAAAGTAAAAGGCTCTAAACTGAATTCCTTCCTGGGGAGGTGACCTTTATGTTGGTGTGGGAGCTGGGTAGTGCACAGTGGTCCTATTGCTAGTTCTGTTTCACTGTTGTTTCTACTATTAGCTTCACACAAGTACTGAAATGGGCCCTCCTGTATGTGAGATAAAAGCCATTAACATAGATTTATTCGTTTGTTGTGGACGGTTTGTTTGTTTGTTTTAATAACTAATCTAGATTTTCATTTTGTGTCTTTGTTTTAGAGAAGCAGACGAGCTACTTGTTATGGTTTAGTTAGCAATGTGGCTTGTTATATCAGTGCTTGAGTCTTCAGATTTTAGATCCCTGGAGTAAGAGGAAAAAAAAATTGAGGTGGAAAACTTGAAGAAAATTGCACTGATAACTCTATAAGAAGTGTATGGTGCTTGACTTCAAAATCATAAAAATGGATAAGCTGGAAGGCCTGTTAAAGTGTGAGAGATTTAGCTCTAATTTAATCTATTTAGTTTGGGAGATCACACAGCCTAGTATGTGTCTCAACAGCTTGTAGAAGCTAAGCTAGCCTGATGTGGTAAACTATGCAACTGTGTGCGGCCTTAAAAATTTTACTGCAAGTTCCTGAAGTTGTGTGCACTTCTCAGTTCAAGAACTTGTTCCATCTCAGGTTGTGAAACATTGTTTTATTCCATGTAAATTTGGTTGTCTGAGAGTGAAGTAAGAGCTATGCATTCTTAAGGTACTCCTCCCCTAGATTTCTGACTGAATAAAAGGGATAAGGAAGGGTTCTTGCCTCAACTCATATTAAAAAGCAGAAGAGCTGTCTAGACAAGATTACTCAGTGCTTGCTGAAAAGAAACTATGGGATGTTTGATATACAAGACAGTCTGAAATGGACTCTGTTTGAAATTGCCCATCTGGATGCAAATGTTCTTGGGGTGTTTTTTTCATTGTTCTGTTCGATTTTTTTTTTTTTTTAACAGAGAAGGTTAGATAGGTAGCAAAATGTGTAAGGGATGCCCCTACCATTTTAAATGGAGATTTAAAAATATTGCTTTGGGTTTAGTTTGTCTAAAAGCCCACCTAAATTCTTATTCTCTATATATTGCAATTTCTACTATACAGTTGCTTCAGTGAATACCAGTGGTTTTGAACCTCTTTCTTCATGACACAATATCTTCATATACACTCATCTGAGGTAGTTCCTGTGTTGTTACTTGGTTTTGTCCTACTCTAGATTGAACTTTATGAAGGTAGTACCAATGAAGATACCATATCTAAGACCTACTTGGAACAAGAGAGAATAGTATGGTTTCTTAACTTCCTTATTCCTCTTAATAATTTGTAAATATAATGTTGTTATTCATGTTAGTAGTTTTGGGGGTTTATAGATATTTGGGAGGTTTTGCACATGCTTTCTCAATTCATACTGTAAGTCTGGTACTCAGATTAAATTTTTATTCTAGAACAAGTTTCAAAGATCTTTTTTTCCTAGGCAGAGACTTTTTTTAATGCTTATTGCTTTGGTTATTGAAGATTAATTTATGTATTCATCATTATTGAATAAAAAACACAGAGAATGTAATGTGACAGTACATTCTGTACATACAGTACAGAAAAGGAGTGAATTATGAAAAGAAATATGATGGTTTTTATGTATCATAATACTGGAAGGGCCACAGGTAATTATGGGAAAAGTAAACAATCGTGTTTTTAGCTTCCTACCTGCACAGACTTCTAATTCTGAGTAGGAATCAGATGACAATTATATCCTGCCTGTGCATTCAACGTTTTCTGGTCACATCATACTTACTTTCTCATTCCCTTTTAACAGCCTCGGGAATTAAACTTCATGTTTCATCAGTAGACCCCTCTGTCCTTTTTCTCCTCAGCATGTCAGTCACAGAGTTTCTTTTTAAGTTCATATGCTAAGCATGTCTGCAGATGTTCCCTTTTAGTGATCCCCAAATTGTATTGACCAGAAACACTTCAACTGTGGGAAGGCAAACTTTAATGCAGGGCTGCTCACATCTGAGCAGAGTAAACCAACTCCTCTCGCGTGCTTGTCTGCTGTGGCTGAGCAACTTTTGGTGCCCGGTGTGGCACAGACTGGACTAGCACTGTAGTACTATGTGTAAAATGTCCTTACTGTTCAGATCACTGTAGTTGTGCTTTTCTTGTCATGCCAAGCAAAGAAATACTTAATTATGGCTACCTTGAAAGTCATTAGGAATAGATCTTGGCCTTCTGTCCAGGAGGAGATAATCCAAAAAAGATCTCATGGCAGTCAGTGAGAATTTCCCTTGTCTAAAGACAAGTTTATTAGTAAACTAATCTATCTGGTTGATATCAGTTCCTTATTCTGTCAGCAATGTTAAACCTTGGCTGATGGAACTGAAGCTGTTTCCTACCTAGACAAGTCCACAATCTTAATGTAAAGGTTTTGGGTAACAGAGTTACTATAAACTCATCCTGAATTACTACTGCAGTAAAACATAAATCCTTATACCTCATCCAGAAGTTTTGAAGTGATGGCTGAATTTCTTATGTTATTATAAAGGTTGGATCATGTTATCATGGTTCTTCTATATTAGAATATCCCTTGTATAGTTTTCAAAAACTATGCTGCTCTTACTAAGAGTGAGTTTGTAATAATACAGTTTTGAGTAATTTAATTCACCAGCACTCTGAGGATAAAGTTGAAAATACATATGCAACAAATATACTAATTTTTTTTTTCTTTTAAGTAGGCATTGAAGTTTTCTTCTGTAGAGAAGGTGGACAATGTTCTGACTTTGTTATTGAAAAGCAAAGTATCTACTTATGAATTCAGCCCATTCCAAAGTGGAGAAGAGCATCATCAACAAGCTGGTGAGTCACTTTTTCTAGGCATTGATTTTTGTTACTGATGCTATGGTTATTACATAAAAATATTAATAAGACAATCTTTAAGTACGTAAAGTCACTAGTGAAATGGAGGAATCCACAATAAAAACAATGTGTTTATTGGGAAAAAAACAATTCTGTAAATCATTACTTCGTGACTCAGTACTATGTATTTATGCTTGCCTGGATTTTTGATCAGTGTTGGATCAACTGCAAGTTGACAGCTTTACAGCTGAGCACATTTATACTAGTGGAGAAAACAAAGTAATGTGGAGATGCCTGTACATTATATGTTTTTTAATAATTGCTCTTCTGCAATGCAGTCTTGACTTCTATTTTCCAAGTTTGGAGACAATCTGAAAGATTCCTCTATCTGAAGAGAACAGATGGCTTTTGAACTTAGCACTAAACTTCTCCATTCAGTGTTAGTACCTATGCACTTAATGATTTCCGTTATTTGTGGCAAAAATAGTTTTATTTTTCTTATTTTTTTAAAAAAGGCATCCCAGTGAGTTAAATAGGGTTTCTCTATACAGTAAATACACTGTATGCACAATTCAGTCATGTATCAACAGAAGCTACTGTTGAGGGCTCTGGTTGAATTCACTGACCACTTATTAAGGATCCAAATTGGTTTGCAATAAACCAAGAGTGTGATTATTTAGCTTGTGTTTTGAAAGCATCATATGAGAGTATTTCAAATGTGTGTTAGACCTCAGCTTTTCTAGGAAACTTCTGGGGAAAAACAACGCTCAAGAAAATGTGTTTCCCTTCTACAGTACTTGAGAAAGATGGCTCCTATTTTGTGTAGCTGGATCGTGGTTTTAAAAGAAAATAAGCTCTCTACAGTCAAGTACAACATAACACTTTTCATAACCAAATACAACAAGTTTTGGAGGTAGCTTTACTGTGATTGCTATCATGCTTTCTTTCCTTTGTTGATGCAGTTCGGCCCTCTGTACTAGAAATAATTGATTCTACTTGTAATCAAAAAATGAGCTTAAATGTCAAAGTTAGTGGAAGCAAATAATTGAGGCACCTGTCCTTGACATTTTCCTTTGTAAGATTGCAGGATGGGGGTGTATAGGACACATTCAAGAGTCATTCCCAATGTGAAATGTTAGTTCTGATGGACAAAAGATTTTCTGCTTCTCTAGCAACCAGTTAGATCTGGGCATGCTTTTGAACATTGAGAATAATACTTGCCAACCTGCTATCCTCCCCCAAAAGGCCGGTGAAGTTCAAGAGCAAGTTGACTGCCTATGAGCTTGAGCCAAGTAGTGACCTTCTTAAAATGAACTGGTTTAATATATCACAAAAAAAAAGAAAAAAAAGGTAGTAAGTTAGATGCCTAGATTCTTCATTAAAGAAAGATGTGGTTGCAGAGCTGGCAGCACTTCAGAATGTGGGAGGTCTGTGCTCTGATCCCTCTTCTGCCTGAAAGGTATAGAAACCTGCATCTTTGACTCCCTATAACAGCATCCCAAACAGGCACTTAACATGTCCAGTAGAGAACTAAAGAAGGTCAAGCTTGCAGTGTGAGGCATAGATAAGAGAAACCTTTTTCTATATGGTTCTACATTGATGCTTTATTTTAACTTTATAGTTAGCACATCAGGGTACCATTGGTAAATTGCTGTGCTTGAAAGTTCAATATGAGCTCAAAGTGAACCAATAATGAAGAACTTATGTTAGTTTTATTGGGTAAATAATTAATTGCGTGGCTTGACTTCTCACAAAGTGAGATTAAAAGCTTGACAGTGTAGAACTAACTATAAAATGCTGGTGATGTAATGAAAGAATAATGCAATGTGATGCTTGCCTATATTGACAGCAGTTTAGATCAACACATCATGAGATGCATGTTTACTTACGTAATTTTTCAAGAGCAACTCCCATCCCCAGAGTGGCTGTTCAACATTTTTTTTAGCATGATGATGCAGTACTTGTGAGCAGTCAGTGTCTAGGATGGCAAAGTCAAGATAGATGGCAAGGATGCAAAAGGTTAACTCTGATACCGTTTTACTTCAATCCATCTGTTACTAAAGTCTGAATAATCCTCTTGACTAGCACTTCTTTGTTTGGTTCACTCTTCAGTACGTAGTTTGAGATTGCCTAATTTAAGGAAATCTTATAACTGTCTTTATTTTGTATGCAGAATCTCTGCTGGAAATGCACTTTCATAATTCTAGGCAATAAGAATGAAAGTATGTTCATGATATTACACAGCTCTCACTGTGTGTTTCCTATCATGTACACATCATGATCATATTTATAGTTTTGTGGTTTTTTCCTTGCAAACCCTGAGGTGATTTACTTGTCTTTTGGTTTGAATTTATTCAAATTAGGTAGGAGACTTTTAACACTTGATGACAGGCCGTATGTGTAGTTTTGTGTTTAAAATGAGCTTTTCTGATTGACTGGTCTATTAAATCCAGTCTATTATATCAATATATAACCAGTTCTTATAAATGTATGTGATTACTTGTCTCTATACTAACATGTGTCTATGCAAGACTGCCTATAAATAAGATGTGCTTCGGGTAAAATTATCCATTGCTATTTCCCTGGGTAGGGTCAACTTGATTTTCAGTATTCCCAATTCTTTTAAGTACTAATAAAAAGAGCAAAATGTCCTGATAAACTTACTGTGTTACCATAGTGTCTAACAGAACAACTTTACCTGCTTAGGACAGGTATATTGCTGGATATAATGATTTCTGATAATGGAAGTTTTTCAACAGATGCAGGTATGTATTCAGGTAATTTCAATCTCTTACCATCTAAGCAAAGAGAATTGTTTGAGTGGCACATCAGACTTTGTGAAGTTCCTTGCAATATGAAAAACTAGGTCAATAGTCCTGCAAGCACTTTAACATGTCTGTACTATTCTTTCTCTATGGGATCTCACTTGTTGGACTACATGCATAAGATGAGTTTCAATTGCTTGCTTTTGATGAAGTGTCAAATTGTACTAGTTATCGTAGTAACCAAAAAAGTAAATCAGGAATCTCTACCAGAAAAACATAGATTATGCATGGATATTACCTACTAGCAATACAGAAGATAGAAGATAAAGACATTTTTTCAGGTGATGGAGGAGAAGAACGTTTTAGTAATGAATGATATTTAAAGAGATTATTCTGCAGTCTCTAAAGGGAAATGCAGGAAGCCCAATCGGATGAGAAAGCTAAATGCAGAATAGAATACATGGGGAAATATTATGTTTAGTGATGGGGTTAACTGAAAGACAGAGCCAAGACATGTCTGGGATTTTTAGTGATGGTGCCATCCCTTGCAGAAAAATGTAACTAAAGCTGGAGGTACTGTCTGGAATATTGTACATTCTGTACCAAATTGATTTCAGGATACGTTGTATATATATTATTCCTTTGTATTCTACTAATACAATCCAGTAAAAGCATACTAACAAATCCAAACTTATATTTCAAAGTATTTCTTGATAATTATTCCTGTTTTTCATGGGAAGCTCTGATTCTACCCATGAATCCTCAGATTTGGGAATTCCTACTGCATTAATTCCTGTCCAAGAGACGGCAATCTACTTGAGGAAAAACTGTTTCTTTTTCCACTACTAATTAATTTTCATTTCTTTAAAAACTATCTATTATTGCTTCTCTGATTAAACTTAAACATCAAGGGTTATGACAGGTCCTGAATTTGCTTTGTAGAAAATGCTGTGTTTTCTCTTCTAACACTGCTAGCAACGTAGAAAATCTTATCCTGATTTCTGTAATTCTTTCTTTCAAGCTGAAACATCTATCCCAAAAGAAGAAATTACTGATTCTGGATTTTCAGCTGCTAGCAAAATAATGGGGGAGAGGAAAGGGATTGGCACTGTAGAAGTCACCTTAAGTGCCTATTTAAATTGCTAAAAAAATCATGTCCTGTTGCAATAATTTTGGAAATAAAATAAGTATGTCTTACAAGATCTACAGAAAGATCACTGCAGGCTGCTCTGTTTGCTTACTACAATTTTATGAAAATTCCCACAGGCTAAGATAGTGCTACAATACAGTAATATTAGATTTTATGCTCTGCTTTATAGCTGAGGTTTTCCAGAATTCTCTGCAGAGAAGGGTAGAGAAGGGATTATGACAGGACAAAACTTAGAGAGCATCAGTTCCCTCTTAACCTCGTGCAAGTCAAATAAAACTTAATTAAAAACAAGCATGGGTCTTAACGTTAGTTGAAAGTTGAGGAAGCCATCTTAAACTACTTAAAAATATACGACTTGAGCACTTTACCATTTCCTTCTTGCTTGTGATCACCAGCTAACTAGTTCTTAGTGTAGGTGCCAAACAGTCACAGCTTCTCTTTATTAACATTCTCCAGTGGAAGCAAGGTCAAGTGACACGGGAAGAATTCAGAGATGCTGCTTGCCACTGTAGGGAGAAAATTCATGTGACCAAAGCTCAGCTGGAGTTGAAGCTGACCAGAAATGTGGGGGACATCAAAAAGAGTTTTTTCAAATACATTAATGGCAATAGGCAGAAATATCATTGGCTGGTTCCAAGATGAGGACGGTCACCTCACAAACAGGGATAAGATAAAGACTGAGATAAAGCCAAGGTGTTTAATGCTTTCTTTGCCTCTGTCTTCAACGCGGATGACCCAAGGGGGTCTCAGTGTCCTGAGCTGGAGGACCACAACTGCAAGAATGATCAACTCCTACTTGACCCTGAGCTTGCTGCTCCATCTGTGGGGCCTGATGGGATTCATCCCAGAATCCTGGGATGAAGAGCTGACTGATGTCATTGCATAACCTCTGTTGATGATTTTTGAGCGGTCTTGGGAATCCAGAGACGTTCATACAGACTGGGGCTGGAAAGCAGCTGGTTGATGGCAAGTTGAATATGAGTCAGCAGTGCCTTGGCAGCCAGGAGGGCCAACCGTGTCCTGGGGGCATCAGGCAAAGCATCGCCAGCCAGTCGAGGGAGAGGATTGTCCTGCTCTGCTCTGCACTGGTGCAACCTCACCTTGAATATTGTGTGCAGTTTTGGGCACTGCTGTATGGCTTTTAAAGTATTCCTACCTAAGAACAGCCTTTTTTTTCTACTTACTACAGGGAGCAATATAAAAAAAAGTTTGTTTTATGAAATTGATTTATTGATTTTTACATCCTCTATGGCTGGCAGAGGTATTTAGTTTCTTAATGATGTAGTCTCTGTAATGTTCAGAGAATGTAAGTGTAGGAGTCCTGGTTGAATATCAAACCCAGCTAGGAAGGAGTTGAGTGGTGACCAGGAAAAACACCTCAAGTGCAAAGGAGCCCAAGGGATTTTGGAATACCTCTGTTTTGTGTTACTTTAAAAATGCACATATAAGCCCAGAGCAGGCTTATGAATGCCACCTACTCTTCTTCTCTTTGTGTTGAAGAAATCATAGCATCCAGTCTATTGGTAATATACACTTGTTTCCCCTTTCAGATTTGTAACCAATTGTTTTAGGTTTCCTTAGTATGAGTGGAAATTCTTTTGGAACATGTTATTAATACTTTGCCAAGCCTCTTTTTAATGACTGTATTTGACCTTCTCATGTCTGCTAAGAGGGTGAAAACTATTGATTAGGGTTCATGTAAATTACTCCAGCCTTAGAATTACTTGCATACATTTTTACTGCTCATGTGACAGCTGCTTAGTTTGCTATATATTTGCCTCAGTCTGTGATGGGGGGGTTAGTTTTTCCCTGCAGCTGGAAAAGTATAGATAAAAATAAGAAGTCAAATGCCTATACTCTGTGGTAAAATTTACAGTTCTTCAGATTTCAGAATTAATCCTAGTTTATAAACAATATGGAGTGAAGAAATTGTGTGGCACCTACTTCTCTCAAAAAACTTAGATTATATACAGTTTTAAGATTGCCTGTTGTAGCTCAAAGGATTTTAAAGCGCACTGCAAATACAAAGGAATATAAGCTACAATACATAACCTTGTTGATGGAAGCTCAGCCTGCCAAGGCTACTGAAACAAGTGACTTGATTTACACAGGTGTTGTGTATTTACAGTTTCTTGGTTAGATTTTTCTTTGCCTGGTGGAACTAAATCAGGCAACACTAATTTGTTTAAAGATAAAGTTAGGGTTGTTAATGGGGCTTTTGACTAAAATGTAGTCCGCTCAAATTCCTTGTGGCAAAATAACATTGGAGTGATACTGGTGGAATATTCTTTGTCCAAAATACAGTCAAGAGTTGTCCTAACTATTTTTTTGGTCAGTCAGTACTTAGCTATGACTATTCCAAGAACTCCTCTTGTTCCTTGAATCCTTATATCTGATGATGGAGTGAGGTTTTACTCTCTGCTGTATTACCATTCTGCAGGAGCAATAAAGGAGTGAGGAGGGGAGGTACACAGATTCACCACTGGTGAGCCAAAGTTTAGTATGCAGAAGAATGTAAAAATGAGAAAGTTTTTGTTAAAGACTGGCAGCTAAGAGAATTCCAAAAGGTAACATTACTACCTAGACTTTCTTCCAGCACACTGAGGGCTGATAATGTGCTGGCTAGCCTGTAGGACAACCAATGACTAAGATATAAAAGAAAACTCAAGAAAGCTAGAAGAAACTGTCTAGATTCCCAAGCTGTAGTCCTGGTTTGGAGACACATGGAAAGAGACTGGAGTTGAAGGAATCATGAAGCTGTAGCAAAAGTGGTCAGGTTGTACACAAAGAAATTACTAGGACTAACTCATTCATTAAGAGCTCTGAGGAAATTTTAAAATAAAATAGCTGGATTTCTAATAGTAGTGTGGAATTTTTCAAACTGGAAGGTGTGACTATGATGCTAAAACCCAGTTTCTCAGGGGACATTGAAAACTAGAAGCAGGTTAATGTGTTATCTCTACCAGACTAATTAATAGGAATTTTAATAAAATACATTTGCTGTAATGTAAAGTCTGGCTTTATAGATTTCTTGTAGTTTTTTGTAAGTCAGCAAACCTGATTAAGTCAGTAATTGATTGGGCATGGATGAATAACTGACCAAAACCAGGAGACAGACAATTGGGAAAAATCTTTTTTTTCTGGTGATAGAAGGTATTCAGGGTAGCAAGGAGGAGGGCTAATAGGGGAGGGGAGGGACAGGAATGAGAGATTTAGTAATTATGCAGTAAAATGTGAGATGATACTCATTCTAGGTAAAAACAAAGTGATGCAAGTGGAAAAAGCAGTCCCGTGTTGTCATACAAAATGAGAAGGTTTGAGCAGGCTATTAGCACTGAGGAATAAGACTGCTCAGCTCCATGATAACATCAACTTGTTGCTAGGCAGCAGATCAAAAAGCTAATGAAATACTAGGAATTATTAGAAAAGGAATAGAGAACAAAACAGGGTGTAATTATGGCAATGCATAAATTACATGGCTCACCTGCAAGTTGAGTATCATGTGCAGCTCTTCTCCTGTCATCTTAAAATGGTTACATTAAAGCTGGAAAAGGTTCAGGAGAGAGCAGTGTGGGTGACGGAATTTGTTCTCTATAAGGCCCAATTAACTAGACTGTAGCCCTTCAAGAAAATATTCTGGGAATGAGTAAATCACTAGAATTGCAGAGAGGGCAGACAGAGGTGGAGAGTAAGATGAATTAGGGGCAGTCAATTGAATGAACCAGGAGCCAGGTTCAAAACAAACTAGAGGAAGCACTCCTTCATGCGATGGGTGATAAAGACCCTCAGTGTGCATGAAACTGGTGGTGCGTGGGGCAGTCTGGATGCATGCTTGGAGAAGAGATACACTGCATGCTGATATACAGACAAATTGGTACGCAACAAACCACAAGTGATTAGAAAGTAGAGTATAAAGGCAGAGAGAAGTATTGTTTATGTTTGAAACCTTTATTTTATTTGTTTGTTGGTATATGTAACTTGTGGTCACTCATAGAGTTAAAATACAGTGATGAAATGATAAACTGACTGTCCCAGTCCTCCAAGGGATAGGCAAATTTTTGCAAGTCTCTGATATTCGTGTGAATTTTCAGAAATGGTTTTTAATATCAAAACATAGCACCATAAAACTATAAAAATGTCCCATTCAAATGTCTTAAATTAAAAATATTCCACCTAAGCAAAAGCATGTCTTGGCTATGGGATTTTTTTCCTTTTGCAAGAAATCTTATTTCTCAATAAAACTAAAGGGCTTTCAAATTCCTCTGTCAGCAAAAAAATGAGATTTCTCAGTTACACTAAATGCTCTTTTATTGATATATGAATTGTAAAACTCTTAATTGGAAAAATTGTTCTTTGGATGCTAGTTCTGTATTGGCAGTTTGATAACTATGATTCCATAGCGCTAATATTCCAGAGGACTTTTGTGAAAGATGTTCTATAAAAGCAAGACTGTTCTTCATGAAGACTTTGTTTCCATATACAGATAGCCATTTGGAAGAATTTCCTACTCTCCTTCACTGTGCAGCCAGATTTGGATTAAAGAACGTTGCAGTGTTTCTACTCAGTTGTCCTGAGGCCGCATGGGCTTGCAAAATAACCAATAAATATGGAGATGATCCAGAAAGTATCGCAGAGAAGCATGGACACAAGGAACTAAGAAAATTAATCAAAGAATTGTCAGTAAGTCCATATGCTTTCTCATATGTCATCTACAACCAGGGGACTGTGATGTTATGCTACTGAGATCCCATCGCATCAGCTCCTGTAAACACTAACGTGTTGCAGTCCTTCTGTCTGAAAATACTATTCTACTCCTGTCTCAGAAAGAGGGGTCAAAATAGGGTGCAGCCACTTTCTTTGTGTACTGTCATAATGGAGATCAGAGTTTTTTCACTGCTTGAATTTTAGGAATGTAATGGAAAAGAGAACAGTGAGTCAGAACTACCTCATGTGGCCTAGCTAGATCGGTGCTTTCAGCACGCAAAAAATGGTTATATTTTAAGTAGTCTAGACCAATTTTCCAGAGTAGGAGACTTTAAAGACTTTTTTAAAGGTCACTTCAAGTGCCTAAGAACTCTCTTAGCATTGCCGCTCTTCAGCATTCAAAAGAGTTGTTGCCTTGCCTTTGCTGTCTGTGCCACTGTGAAGGAAAGCTAAATTTTATAACCCTTTGTTAGATGGAGTAAATCTTTCTTCAACTGGGTGTGCAGGAGAGGTTTGGGGTAATAGTTGCTTTTCCACATGAAAGGTAATAATAAAATAAGGGTCTGTGCATAGTTCTACTGTGCAGAACGGTAACAGAATTGCAGTACAAAAAGAAATATATGAGAGCCTTAACCTATTTTAACTCTTAATTGTGCTAACTGTAATATGTGCAGATATGATAATTCTACAGTTTTTAATACTGCAGTTGATATCAATTTTAACTGAAGAAAATGGGATCCTCTTTACCGTCCAGCATAAAGCTGTCCACAAAACCATGCTGTCTTCCTGGATCAACATGTTAGTAATTTCACATTTAACAATTTCCAACTGCCATAGTTATCTCACAGTCATTCTTACATGGGTCAGAAATCTCCTGCCAGTAGCAGTCTGATGTGTAAGGTCGGACCTTTCAGTTCTTGGAGTTTACCAATTTGCCTTGAAGAGAATGGAACAGTATTCCCCAACATTCCTATCTGCATAGGTGCCATTTTTGTATGGTTGGATACTTTACACACTCTGTATGTAAAGGATTGGTGAGAACACACAGAATATGAATGTGATATCTAACTCTCAGTGAAATACCATGATTTCTTTTCTAAGATGGTCATGCGAATCAGAGAGTTGAGCATGGAAAGGTGATTTCTGTTAATAATTTTTCAGTTTAATGATAATTATTAATTCCATAGGACATTTAATTTTTTATACTAGTATTATAAAAACTCACCGACCTGCACTTCTTATGCGTCTTTGTTGTGCACTCCACATGGGACTGGAAGCTTCAGAAAATGCTTTATTTCAGTTTTATCCTATTTGTCCTAACACAGTCATGCTATGGTTTGGGGCTTCTGCAAGGGGAGACATAAGCATGCATGGTGCACACAGACTACAGCTGATACGCAGTGAGAGAGTACGTTGCACTTCTATAGTGCTTTAACATTTTGATAGACTTTATCAGTGATGGAAGGCAGCGTTTGTGAGGGTGATATATTTCACTCTAAAAAGTGTGTAAAGTGTTTGCGTACCTCTGGTTAGCTTTTCTTTGTTAGTAAGGTTATTAATTTTCCTAATAAAGTCTCAGTATAGATTTTGTCAATGTAAAACATGGATTTAAAATGGCAACTGTATTTTTTATTAAAATACTTCCTCCATGGTATGTATCTGCTATTGTTTGCATGCAAACATTTAACAATAATTGTTCTCTGCTCATGATGGCTGCTTTCCCATGTGTAAATACTTCTTCCAGTATGAAGTAAAAACAACTCTATGACCACTATGTAGACATGTGTAGTCTGGTTAGGACGTGCAGTTATACTACCCATTTTCAGTTGATTCAAATGGCATGACTTACTAATGCAACACAAGTAAAAATCTGAGCATGCTTCAAGTCTGCCAAATGTGTAATATGATATTATAGAAATGTTAGCTCCAAACACTGGAAGAAAAATGGCTTATTTGTGTCCCCTGTAATAGTGCACTTAAGCACAAAAACACTTACTGTACTTCTGTAATTGATGGGAATATGGAAAAGAAGTATTTGCATGGCTCTGAGCCAAGCAGAATTTAGTTTAACCATGTTCCTGGAACTTCCCATTACAGCTATAGTATTGAAATTGCTCATTGTTACAATAGTACTTTTGTACTTGGCGTAACTCTCACTGTTTTAAAAGTGTTACCTGTCTTTGGCCATTCCTTTAAGGAATAGCTCCAAAATATACACAGTAATTGAACACTTCTATCCTAAAGAGCAAAAGGATTCCAGAAAAACAAATGCATTAAAACATCCATTTGATTTGTCCAAAATTCTGGAAAGTGTCTTTTATTTGCTGGATAAAGACCAAAAAAAGAAATGTCTTTTTTGTGCTGGAGAATCCTTAGGAGAGTAAGAATTCCTGAGGTGGTTAGAGAGAGAGCATCAAAAGATTTAAGTGGCAATACCTCAGCTACTATTTCTACCTCCAAGCCCAGGGCTTTGCTGTGCAACCTCTTTTGGTGCCTGGTGAGTAGATCTATGCTCAGGACTTTTAGCTGATGCAGCTTTGCTGGTAAGGCCCTTCAGCTCCCGTGCCCAGCAGACTTAGTGGAAAGGTACTCAGGGCTCTGTTGGCAAAAGTGAGCTGCACAGTCACTTACACAGTGGGTCATCTCTGTGGCACAAGTTCCCTGTCCTTGTTTGAAGAGAAAACCTCTTTTCTGAAACTGGACATTGACAGTGTTGATGTGGGGAGTGTTACAGCCACAGAAGACAGATCTAAATTGCCTGGTGGGTATGTCAGGAACTGATCTCCTGATCTGTGTCAAAGTAAAGCACAAGGGCACAAGGGAAGGATCACATATCATGTGGCATGCTTCTGTTGACACAGCTGTATTAATGAGGAGGGAAAAGATTTTTTTTTCCTCTTTTAGTACCAGTGTTATATGCAGGGTCATTAAATGCTAAAACATCACACCCTTTAAGAACCTGTATAAATTTGTGCTTCCATGAGTGGTAGTTTCTGCCTTTTCTGTTAGAAATCCTGCATTTCAAATGCTCCTTGAAAATGTCTTCTCTGTGGTGAGGCAACACTGCAATACTTGAATGATTTGTGTTAAAGGTGCTATATTGGTGAAACTGTGCCTAAAAGAGTTTTTAATGGGGATTATGATGAAACATAGTTTCAAATGTGCTAACAGTTTATTAAGCAAATTGTATTTTTCTTGCATTTTTGCACAAAGCCACCTAAATGGACATTCATTTCCAATTTCTATGTTTCATTATAGTTTAGATGAAGTAATTCCCTCTTCTGTAGCATGAAAGAGGGATATCACTTAACATTTTGTGATAACATCCTGAATTGTTAGTCTTTTGATTTTATTCCTCTATAGAACCAAGTATTTGAATATTTTCCACAATTGCCTTTAGGTGGAATTGCTTGAATCAAGTGTGTCAATTTAAAACTAGTAAGAGACATTCAGTAGGAGTATTGGCAAGAATCCTTGTCTCAGCATATCTGAACAGGGGAAATGATGAGCCTTTTGAGGCTCAGTTGATCCAGCTGATGGCTCAAATGCCAGTAAGGAATGCTTTCCATTAGCCACAGGCTCTAAACATATCTGTAGTCAGCTGTTACAGTACCTATGATGGATGTGCCTTGTTAAGCCACAGTAGTTTTTTGGGATATCAGGACTCTATTTCAGATGTTTGCCTTTTGCATAGGCTCTGTCTCTGAAAGCTGCTTTGACAACTAGCTTGTTGTTCTTGCTGCCAGCTGTGGTTTTCTAAGTGTACATTAAAGTTCTACCTCCAGATTATGAAGAAATCCCTTAAATTAAGTTCTTATGCAGCATACAAAGGAAGACTTTAAAAATAGATTATAGAAGATTTCTAAGCATCAAGCGAGTAATGAGGGGAATATGTTCAATTTGTGACCTAACCATTTAAAATTGAATGTCACACTGGTAGCCAGCTTAAACATGTGTGCTTTGGCATGGATGTAAGTGTTTGTTCCAGCACTTGGGTGTAGCTAATTTCTCCCTTCTTTTACTAAGAACTGTGTTACTGAATGTGTCGTAGTCAGGAAGATTACTGTGTACCACTGTAGTATACATCACAGGTTCTAAGAGAAACATAATTCAGCAAGTGTTTTATTGGTTGGTTAGTGCAAATAACTTCCAATTGTTGGCTTTGGCCTTTAAAGCAGATTCCTAGGGGTGGCATAAATGTTATTTATATATAAAAATTGAAACAGTCATTTCATGTTGCCACCACATAGTTGAGACAGCGCAATTTAATTTTTATTTTTAAAATACCTTCTGACGTTCTGGCATTTCAGAAGTAGTTGCCTGAAATCTAAGGCAGAAAATGCAGGTTAACTGAACTTTTTTTAACCTGCTCAAAATCTGTAGCCAGAACAGTAGACTGATAGAAAAATCTTCTTCCTCTGCCACTACCAAAACTCTGGATTTCTTGTTTAATTTTCTGTCTTCCTGCTTCAGGCATCCCTCAGGCAGCTATTTAAAATATAATAGGTATTTAATTCTGTACATATTGGTGAAGTTTCTTTAGAATTGCATAGGTTGAGGTAGTGCCCTAGATGGCTTTTCAGAAGGAACTTGTTTTCTTTCCAGAAGGGAAGTTCTTTTATCAGTTCAGTTTCGTCAATTCGTCAAATTTACATCAGATCTTTCTAGCTCTTTTGAGATACATCCTGCGAAGTCTAGATCCACAGTTACTGAGTTCACTGTGGTTAGCAGTTCCCACAGTAGCAGAGAGAAACACAATCTTACAGGTGGTCATAATTTTCACTCAGAGCCTGTTTTATGGAGGACTTACATTTTAGATAGCGAGGGAGAGGGAGAAAGAAATTTTTCTTTCTGAAATGCCAAGCTATGTTTTTATAAATCTTAGCAAATTAAGGGATGGGCAAGGATGTAGTTTGACAAGTAATTTTTCATCATATACCTCCCCCCTCTCATCTCTTATTTTGTGCATGGTTAAA